CATGACTTAAATACATATATAACCCGACGTAAAGAGGGTAGAATTTTGAATAATCCATTATGACAACTAAACAAGATATGATATTCCAATAAAATCTATATCTTCTCTATCGTTAGTGTGAACTAACGATAGAATACTGTAATTACATTTCAATATGCAACAACTTAAATGATAACGCCACGCTTAAAATCCCAATTTAAATTAAAATATTGACGTCTGTCACATCGTAAGCGTCGCTTACGAATTGTATAGTTTACGAGTCGTTTCAATATTCGACCGTTACTATTATAACCCCACTAAATACATAAAAATGCTTCAAATAAAAACACATTAATAGTAGCTGCCGCCTTAAGACTTACCTAGATCATCGACTTTTATATTTTAATTTTTTTATAAGGAAAATTGCTTTATAGCAGCGTAACACATAGGAGCTACATGCCTGGTGTGTCGGGCTCAGGATCATTAGTGTTCACCTAACCTGAGTCCCGTTACCGACTAAACAACCCTATAGACTAGACAATGAGTTGGCCACGCCTGTACTGTATCGATTTACCTTCACGTGTAGCATCACGGTAGTAACATCGCTTCCTAAACACTCGATAAAATCTCTTGTTACATATCTTATCAAACTCTACACAAAGACAATGGCACTTATAAATAAAGGCAATGTCCTGTTAACGTTTTAACGTGTGACAACTTGATTAGTTCGAAGCTCGAGAGAATCCTTATATTGTAGTAATAAAACGTGTGTACAGCTTGATTTTACTTTACAGCATAAAGTTAAAAGTTAAATTTTGTACTAATATTTACTTACACTCAGTTTATTAAATTTAACTTTATACCGCGTTTATTTGTAAGGTTGTATGAGTAAAAAACACTTTGTCTACAATCTGATCATTTTGTACATTTGAGTTTACATTGTTGAAACATTTACATGAAAACAGGTTACCAATGTTGTTTAGTCAATCGTAAATACTAATACATTTAATAAATTCAAAAACATTACAGCACTTATAACATACCGGTAGAGGTAGACCTAAAACAGTTGGATGGATTGCATTTAGGGTGACATCATCAAGAAGGGAGTTATGACTGATACAGTTATTTGGAGGACATAATCCCGGCCAGAGGACCCAACAGTAGTAGGATAAGGTACAAGAGATGATGATGATGGTAATACACTTAAAAATAACAAAATTTAAACTTGAGTAAATTAGAACTCATCATCTTGCCCTTGTTCCTACTGAGGGTCGGCACAATATGTGCTACTCCATACATCTCTATCAGCCGTCATATCTGAATCCACTCCCTACTTAAGCATATCCTTTATCACACAATGGATTTCTTCGGTCTTCCTCTACTTTTGTAGCCATCCAAATTAGACTTATAATTAGAAGGATGCGAATTAAGCCAACGAAGAATTAGGAAGCATTTTACCATAACATATTTGTATTTCACAAAGCCATATATGTACAAAAAGGTAAATGACGCACATAAAATTGTAGCGAGATGTGTCCTGGATTAGAAAGGGAGCACTTGAGCGTCAGGAACAAGAGCAGGGAGTCATTATGCCAGCCGGCCAGTGTTATATTTGGCGCTTTTTAAATGAACTAGTTCATGCCGAAACTAAAATAAAAAAGCTTGCATTTATGAAATAAAATGTTTTTATTTGTCTGAGAACGATGTTAACTTTACGAATATAAAAACAAATTCTTAATCATGAAAATGAAATTAAATTAATTAACAAAAACATTCTAAAACTCATATTCAGTACTGTTGTCGCTATATTTTTGTGCATATTACTTGAAAACATAAAACGCGTGCACAATAACATGTCAGGTGAAATGTGACGTCATCATCTCTACGCATAACCCGCATGCGCTCAATAGACGTAACAAAGCTATACTATCTCCATTACATTCATAAAATTGTATTGCGATAAAAGCTTTATGTGTAAAACTAACAAATGTGACGTTATTTAATTCTACAAGACTGGATGACATAGTAAAAATTTACAAATTCAAAGTCAAAGCCACGAGCTATACTTAATCCATTAAGTTAATTACAAGAGTCGCAGAACAGCCGTTCAGTTTAAGTGAATATTGATTTGCGTACTGTTAACATATCCGTGAATTACTGTCGAACATTTTTACTACAGGTTATAGACAGAAGTTTCAGCAAAATCAAAAATATATTTTCAATAAGGGAAACAAAAATCATAGCTTTTTGATGATAAATATAAAGAGACAACAGCAGTTTATTTCATTTTAGGTACAGTAGGGCGACTCACTCATCTTAATAGGATATATGGAACTAGTTGCCGACTCTTGTATGAGGTTCTAAAATTACAAGTTCCATTATCACTCAATAATTCTTTTGGGGTACTGGGTGTACCGACAAACATACGACTTTGAGTATAAACCAACTCTCGCAAATGAATAAGCTAGCTTTCACAAAATTATTTATTCCGTCAATACATTACAAATTAGCAGATGTTTTAATCTGGTGAATTATTTGCCAAACTTGCCATAAATTAAACGCACATCCGTGCTGTTCGCTAAGAGATAACATCCTCTCAGAGTTTAATACCAGGCCAAACAGTGCTCGAGAATGGGCACGTCTTATACACGTGACCTCAATGTGCGATTAACTAAGCTTCAAAACAGCTAGATAACAATGCGCATCGTTTGTAGTTTTATAAGTTAAAATGTGACACAATTATGAGGCGCGCCGTGGACGAGTACCCATGGTTCGAACACAGCTCGAATC